CTGAAATAAATCACAGAAGCCCATATGAAAGAAATAAACACCCACGCATATCATAAATCCCGAACAATTAAACGGAAACGGTGCCCGCATACGAACGACTATGGGAATGATGCACATGATTACCGAATGTGTGCGCGAACTTTTGCTAACTCAACGAATACCAGGAAATAGGACACAACCTTGGTACCATTGGAAAGGTGGGAATAAATGAAAATTTATGATACCAAGAACGTGAGAAAACATCCAGAAATGAATGAGATATAGGGACATGAAGTTAGAAACCTGAAAACATGCGGGAAAACAGCTTCAAGAGGTCCAGAGTCCTAAATAAAATACATAAAAATATGAAATCTTCAAGGACGACCTACTATAACAACGAACAATACATATGGAGGATTAGGATGTGATAATACAAAAGGGAATCAGGGAATATGAACGAAATTCACGAAAACCACTAAACTACGACGGACCATGGTGGAAATTTTAGGGAACAATATTCTAATGAGGTGGAGAGCTATAACACATTCGTTTGAGTAATTCTTGATTACTAGCAACTTTTTCTTTCAGTTTTAAACCTGAATAATTCACTCATTTACCATTTCAGTCTCATTTTTACTAAATGTCACTGAATAAAAATGGAATAAATCAGCTGAAGGTCTCAGCACAGCCGTACGCATAGTAATGCGAAGTTTGAATTCAGAATCATCGAGTCATAGCAAATTTAATGGTATATATAGGGAATTTGAAATAGGTAACTGCGGCAAATGCAGCGCAGCCAAGTTCCAATTAACCAGTAAAATAGCTTAGGCAAGGGAGGACAATAAGAATTCTAGGCGCAGTCTGACCACAGTAGAACTGCAGTTCAGCGCAGCAAAAGCGCAGTAGAACTATAGCATGAAAATTTCATTTTTATTCAGTTTGAGAAAAATACACTGTAAATAAATCCTGTAAATAGAAGGTAGAGTGTGAAAAAGGAAGGCGACCCAAGGAGTATAAAAGGGAGACCCTTTCTGCGACTTTTCGCCCCCCTTAGAGAAGTAAGAAAATAGAGTATTATTTTTCTCAAGCATTTCTGGTTGTCACTCCAGTGCGAAAAAGTGATATACAGTTAAGATTGCCACTGTAGTAAAAGGCAGCAATAAAGGAGAGAAATATTAAGTAGATATTTCAACAGGAGAGCTGGTTAACACTCCAGATTTCAAAGTGTAAACACAAAACAGTTATTTTGCTACTGTTAAAACAAGCAATAAAATAAGACAAAAATAAAACAAACTCAAGGGACACTCCAGACAGAATCCAAATTCATTAACTGAATAGAATCTTCGAAACTTCACTAAGTAGAAGATTAAATTCAAGTTTAAATCCAAATTAAACAACGCTACACAGAATTACACCTAGACAAATTAATAAATTTCAATAAAGAAACAGCTCCGCAGGGCTCGGTTTATCTGTAAGTCAATTCCCAGGAACTCTAAAACTAACCCATAAAAATAGAATTAGCCAAAACACTTGGATTGGTACTATATTTACAATAAATAACACTAGTACACTTCCCCATCCTAACTAAAGAACCAGGGAACAGCTTGGTGGTGGTCTCGTTTGAACCTCCCAACTGACCTTCCTTCATTCTCTCCTTCACCGTTCTAACAACTCCTCCGATGAGAAGGGACATCCCACCAAGAAGTTTAGTTGTTTGACCAGTCTAGTGATGCCAGAGCGCGACCAGTACATTGATACAGTATCTCTGACTCCTGACGATAGTCCAGAGTGACCAGGAGTGAGTACTTATTTTATTGATTGTTGTCAGTAGCACCTGGACCACGGCACAGTATCGCCACTGTCACCATTACTCTACCCCCAGGTCCCTACTCTTTTGCCTGGGCAGCTCTCTTGCCCAGTTACAACGTATCCAAGAAGAAAACATGGGGCTCTGTGAGGAACTCTTTAACATCAAGCTTGAGAACCAGCATCTCACCAGCAAGTTGCAGGAGGTCTCGTTACACCGGGATTCCTCCAACGAAAGTGCGACTCACTGGAAAGGGACCTCAAGGCCTATGAAAAGGAAGATGAGGCATCGCACCCTCGAAAAATCCCTCACAGAAACATGTACCCAAAATGCCCACGTTGAGAGGGCGCATTGTGTAGATGACAGCCCTCATTCACACCCTGGACCAGTCAAACCGGCCCATCCTCAAGTACCTGTTGCTGACCCAATGGTGGGCCATAGGGTCCAATCTAATACATCCAATCCCGAGTCAGGACAAGAGCAGGCACCGCATCACCCCCTCCTACCACTTGAATATTCATGGTTCCGGCTACCTAGCCAGAATCACTCTCCTTCTCCTGGGACATTGTAGGAGAAATAACGGTCACACTATGGAAACCCATTATGGAAATATGCCAGATAAATCACAAAACCCCATACAACAAGTAGATATGAGAAAATAGAAGGACCTGAATTTTAATGAATTTTTACGAATTTTTACGAATTATTATGACTATTCGTGATAAATTGAAAGAAAGAAAATTAGCAAAAATACTTCAAGCTTAGCATCAACAAGACGGAATTCTCGGGGAATTTATACCAAATATTAAAGAAAGAATTAGGACGATCGACCAAGATTTGACTATAGAAACAATCAGAGAACCTCCATGGAAACTACTTTCCCATGTCTGCACATGTAGCCAAGGATGGAAGTACCACGGAACAAGGATTCCTCAGGAACTAATGCAAAATTCAAAGTCGTGTTTATAATAGGAAACGTAGATGTCCCCCAAACGGACCCAATGAAAGTAAACACAGAGAAAACTATCCATAAACGACGGAGATATGACTAAAACTCCGGCAAAATGAGGACAACGCTTAAAAAGCAAGCACGAAGAATAACCAGTAACGACCGAGACGAGCGTGATAGCCCATTAGAAAGGAAGGGATCTAATCTTAATCCACCCAAATTTTCATAATAAAAGGATCACGCATTAACGAGATATCCAATAACGGGAATAGTGACATCAAAAGTCCGAGCTCAGTAAAAAAAACGATGTTTACGAAGGATCCATAATTAAAACATACAACGAAATTTACATGGAAATTATGAAAAATAAGAAACTATAGTTATGCAAATTTTCAGCCCAAACGGTCCAGCCATTGTAAAGTTATACCAATGACGGGAATATAGAAATCCGCATCATGTTTAATGGCACGTGAGGGTGGCAATGCAAAGGGAACCGGCCATCGGAACCAAGATCTGCACTTCAGCAGATCGCAAAGACCAATTTCCATCCAAATAAGGAAGAGCCCGGTCAAAACAAAGCATGGAAAGTGCAAAACAACCCTAGATCATGAGGGAAAAATCTGAAATAAATCACAGAAGCCCATATGAAAGATATAAACATCCATGCATATCATAAATCCCGAACAATTAAACAGAAACAGCGCCCGCATACGAACGACTATGGGAATGACACACGTGATTACCAAATGCGCGTGCGAACTTTTGCTAACTCGATGAATACCAGGAAATAGAACGCAACTTTAGTACCATTGGAAAGGTGGGAATAAATGAAAATTTATGATACCAAGAACGTGAGAAACCATCCAGAAATGAATGAGATACTAGGACATGAAGTTAGAAACCTGAAAATGCGCGGGAAAACAGCTTCAAAAGGTCCAGAGCCCTAAATAAAATACATAAAAATATGATATCTTCGAGGACGACCTACCATAACAACGAACAATACATATGGAGGATTAGGATGTGATAATACAAGGGGGAATCAGGGAAGATGAATGAAATCCACGAAAACCACTAAACTATGATGGACCATGGTGGGAATTTTAGGGAACAATATTCTAATGAAGTGGAGAGCTACAATACATTCGTTTGAGTAATTCTTGACTACTAGCAACTTTTTCTTTTGGTTTTAAACCTGAATAATTCACTCATTTACCATTTCAAGTCTCATTTTTACTAAATGTCACTGAATAAAAATGGAATAAATCAGCTGAAGGTCTCAGTGCAGCCGTATGCATAGTAATGCGAAGTTTGAATTCAGAATCACCGAGTCATAGCGAATTTAATGGTAAATATGAGGAATTTGAAATAGGAAACTGCGACAAATGCAGCGCAGTCAAGTTCTAATTAACCATTAAAATAGCTTAGGCGAGGAAGGACAATAAGGATTCTAGGCGCAGTCTGACTGCAGTAGAGCCGCAGTTCAGTGCAGCTGAGCGCAGTAGAACTATAGCGTGAAAATTTCATTTTTTATTCAGTTTGAGAAAAATACACTGTAAATAAATCCTGTAAATACGAGGTAGAGCATGAAAAAGGAAGGCGACCCAAGGAGTATAAAAGGGAGACCCTTTCTGCGACTTTCCCCCCCCCCCCCCTCAGAGAAGTAAGAAAATAGAGTATTATTTTTCTCAAGCATTTCTGGTTGTCACTCCAGTGCGAAAAAGTGATATACAGTTAAGATTGCCACTGTAGTAAAAGGCAGCAATTAAGGAGAGAAATATTAAGTAGATATTTCAACAGGAGAGCTGGTTAACACTCCAGATTTCAAAGTGTAAACACAAAACAGTTATTTTGCTACTGTTAAAACAAGCAATAAAATAAGACAAAAATAAAACAAACTCAAGGGACACTCCAGACACAATCCAAATCCATTAACTGAGTAGAATCTTTGAAACTTCACCAAGTAGAAGATTTAATTCAAGTTAAATTCCAAATTAAACAACACTACACAGAATCATACCTAGACAAATTAAGAAATTTCAATAAAGGAACAGCTCTGCAGGGCTCGGTTTATCTGTAAGTCAATTCCCAGAAACTTTAGACTAACCCATAAAAATAGAATTAGCCAAAACACTCGGATTGGTACTACATTTACAACAAATAATACTAGTACACTTCCCCATCCTAACTAAAGAACCAGGGAACAGCTTGGTGGTGGTCTCGTTTGAACCTCCCAACTGACCTTCCTTCATTCACTCCTTCAACATGGAGAAACATACCCATCCCAGGTTCCTTCCATGCCAACAACTTCGTACATGGAGTTACCATTAGTGGCCAGAGGTGGCTCATCACCACCGAAATAGGCCATCGTCAATGGCGATGGGACAACTTCATACTCCCATTCCTGAATACAGTGAACAGGTTTAAATTTTTGGTCGACCTCAAGTGGATCGACCAGAAGGTTGGGGTGGCTGGGGTTATCGATGATGCCCCAGGCGATGTTCACGACCTTCACACTCATTACTTCGAGCTGAAATTCAAGGGTGGAAGGAATCCTTCCATGGATGACTTCGACAAGAGGTATGGGTATGTCCAAAGGACTCCCGAAATTCTCAACGAGGCAGGAATGAAGTACATCCTGCTGTCATTGTGGAGGCATCATCCCTCCAACGAGGCAAGGGCCCATAGGGCGGCCAATATGACTGCCTTCAAATTCTCGAAACTGCATGTGGGCGACTACCCCATGCCTCCTCCCCCTCCATCGCAGTCAGGGCACTTCATGCCCGAACCAGCTCCACCCGTGCCTCTGCAAAAGATGTGGGTTTCTCTCTCTCAATTAATGGATGGCAACTATGGCCATCTACCTGCTGCCATGCATCCTCCCACCCCACTGCCTATCCCCAATGAGGACAAGGATATGAAGAGTGATGGCAAGGCGACTACATGGTCAGTTGACGAGACTGCTCCTCTTCCTGAACGTCGTTTCCCTGCTGCGATTCGGTCTGAAACCGAGGACACTGGTGCTGGTCCTTCGGACCTTTCTTGTGCTGCTGTATCGGCTGCCACTGCCCCTTCCTCCAAGAAGGGTAAAGCAAAGAAGGTTTAATCACCTTCTCTTCATCGAGGTATATGTGCCTCATTTAACATGGAGGGGTTAATCACCCCCCTGTTCTATCATCCGCTCTGGTGCATCATTCATACCGCTGAGGCCTAACCGCCTCATTCATCATTTTTTTTGTCTTCTGCTCTGGGACCGTCGTAACAACAGTTCTGCAAAGGCCTAACGGCCTTTGCTTTACTATGTTCTCCACCCCATTCTCTGGACTGTCATAACAATGGTTGTGTGAAGGCTTGACAGCCTTCACTTCCTTATTTCCTCTGATCTGCTGAAACAGTGGGTCGGTGGAGGCCTGACAGCCTCTACTTTATATATCTTTTCTTTGGTCTGTCAAAACAACAGACCCATGGAGGCCTAACAGCCTCTACCTTGTAGTAATTTCTGGATCCATCGAAACAACGGATCTGTGGAGGCCTAACAGCCTCTACTTTCACTCAATCCTGAAACCATCATAATAACGGTTTTGTCAAGGCCTAACAGCCTTGCAATTACTGGATGGCCTAACAGCTATCATTTTTATTCTTTCTTGAATAACTCTTGTAAAATTTTGAGGGGAATGGATTAATCGCCATTCCCCACCTTATATTAATTTCTTGACAACTTTCTTGTTATACCTGCCTGTGTGATATTAATATCGCAAGGGAGGAGAGTGTAAGGGATATAGGCCACATACTCGTGGCCTACCCTATTCATTCTTTATTTATCACATCAGGTTTGTACCTGACACGACACTTCTATTCCTGAACCCTTCATTCTACCATGCAGTCCCAAGCCACAACTATCACATGTACATACAATAATGTATTTAACCTACATGCAAGGGGGTAAAGGCTTCCCCAGCCTTTACTCCCCCATTGATAATATAGCTACATACAGTGTATATCTGATGGACTGGGAGTGTGAGGCAACACTTGACTATTGTGAGATCACTCATGAACTCAACCCTAACAACCTTACACAGGCTGAAGGCCGAAAGGTCTGGAAGCAAATGGGGATGGGGGGCAGGGTTGGCCGCATAGTGGCCAGCAATGACTGAGGGTCAAAACAAACAATAACAGATAAATAAGTGAAGGAGTGTAGGGCTGCAATAGCAGTGGTGGCAATGGTAGTGGCACCAGACTCGAAGTTGGGCCGGAGTTGGGCATGGGAATGGTAGTGGCCTGGTGAGGGCCAACTGGGCAGAGTAGGTGAAGTCATGGAGTCATGCTAGGCATGGTGCTGGAGGTGGGCTCAGGGCAGGGAGGTTGGTGTGGCTGCAGGGAAGTTGGCCAAGTGTAGGGGAGCCTAGGGCAAGTGGGGAGGATGAGCAGGGAGCCCTCAGGGAGGATAGGGATGAGGTCAGGGCTTGCACTCATGCTCGCACAGCAGGAACAGGCTCAGGTGGCATCAGGACAGGTGGCTAATGGGCCGGAATGCATGGCCATGACAACCTCTGCCTGCATCTGCACCTCTGCCCACCTGTCAGGGCATACCCTGCCTGACCCCAGGCCACACCCTGTGCCACCCCGCCCTACTCCGCTTCCCCTGCCATCACTCCCCACTCCCCCTATCCCTTCTTTCCTCTTTCTCTATGTACCACCACACCCTAAGGCCACCGCCTCTGTCACCACACCCACTGTGTGCATCCCCACCCACACAGTGGCCACCCCTGGGATCTCCCACAGAGACACCCAGAGCACTGTGGCTGTGTGCGGAGATGACGTGGCCCCTTTCACGTGACCCTAGCCACATGTACATATATAACAGCACCTGGGGTGGGAACAGAAGAAGCAGCCTTCTTCTCACTTTCCCACTTCGGGTAAGTACCGTAGCTGTCATATCCATACCTACTCTGCCCAACCTCTGACCTACTCTGCCACCATTCTGGTTCACCTCCAGTTTGTCATCTCCCTTACCTCCACCATATCCTCCAGCATACTTCCGGTCCACCTCCACCTCCGATCTCCAGTACCTTCTCCAGTACCCCTTATCCTCATCATAGAAGTTTATTAATATTCCTACCTACCCAACATTACTACGGACCTCCTAGGACCTCTCCCAATCCCGCAAAGGTTTTCCCACTATCCAATAGCTGTCACTAATCCCACCCTTCATTTACCCACTCCACAGTGGCTATTGCTATTCTCTCATGTAACCTAGACATTCATGCTCCCACTCTCGAGCTACAAACCACTCTTTTATAGGTTCCAACTTTGACCGTGTTCATGCACGACCTGGCCATCTTTGTCAAGGCTGTTAATGAAGATGGGCTGGTTCCTCATGAACCCGTTCCGCTTGTTGACCTCAACCTCCCTATTCCACCTATTCCTATTCTCATTGGTGATGACGACGAAATTGAGCAAGTCCCTGTTCCGGTACTTGCCCAGTTAGCACAGGTGATCACCTATCTTGCTCACTCCACCACTCATCCTGCTCCAATCCCTGTTCCAGTTCCTGCTCCTGTACAACCTCCCACTCTGTCCACCTCCATTCGAACTAAGGTTCAAGAACCCAACCAGTTTGACAGGGTCGATCCTCGCAAACTCCACACCTTCTTGGTCCAGTGTGAACTGAACTTTCAGGACCACCCCCTGGCCTTCATGAGTGACTGCTCGAAAATTATTTACATGCAGTCATTCTTGACAGGGATGGCCCTTGATCATTTCGAACCGGACCTTCTGGAAGGGCTGCCTGAGGGCGCTCAACCTTTGTGGATGGATAACTTTCAGGAGTTTGTCTTAGAGCTCAAGGAGAACTTTGGTCCCCATGATCCAATGGGTGACGCTGAAGACGAGATCCTCCAGTTGAGTATGAAAGACGGACATCACTGTCAGGGACTGTGTGTCAGTTCACAACGAAGAGGGTGTTCCTGAGAATCCTAGTCATTGTTAACGCTGAGGTGCCACCCTCAGCGGTGAAGGAGAGAACGAAGGAAGGTCAGTTGGGAGGTTCAAACGAGACCACCACCAAGCTGTTCCCTGGTTCTTTAGTTAGGATGGGGAAGTGTACTAGTGTCAGGGCACACACCCTGACTAGCCCGGACCCGGACCCGCTTCCGGACCCGCTTCCACCCGCCACGCTTCCCACATGCGTGCATGCTCCGCGCGCCGCATGCTCCGGGCCCGGTTCCTACCCCTTCATGTGACTTCCGGGTATCCCCGGAAGTTTTCACCATATTGGGCCACTGTGGGAAAGTGAGAAGTTAACCTTCTTCTCACTTTCTGACCCACAGTAGGCAAGTGTATCTTACTTGCCTTTTATCTTATACACTTTCTTACCCACAGTAGCATTGTGCCCTGAAATGGGCTGTTACAGGTCAGGCTCTGGGTTATAGAGAGAGGGGTCATGGGGACCCGGGTTTGTCCCCTGACAACTAGTAATATTTGTTGTAATTATAGTACCAATCTGAGTGTTTTGGCTAATTCTATTTTGATGGGTTAGTCTAAAAGTTTCTGGGAATTGACTTACAGATAAACCGAGCCCTGTGGAGCTGTTCTTTTATTGAAATTTCTTAATTGTCTAGGTGTAATTCTGTGTAGCGTTGTTTAATTTGGAATTTAACTTGAATTAAATCTTCTACTTGGTGAAGTTTCAAAGATTCTACTCAGTTAATGGATTTGGATTGTGTCTGGAGTGTCCCTTGAGTTTGTTTTATTTTTGTCTTATTTTATTGCTTGTTTTAACAGTAGCAAAATAACTGTTTTGTGTTTACACTTTGAAATCTGGAGTGTTAACCAGCTCTCCTGTTGAAATATCTACTTAATATTGCCCTCCTTAATTTCTGCCTTTTACTACAGTGGCAATCTTAACTGTATATCACTTTTTCACACTGGAGTGACAACCAGAAATGCTTGAGAAAAATAATACTCTATTTTCTTACTTCTCTAAGGTGTTAGAACTGGGTGAGGGCGGACAACTCCGGAGTGGAATTGGAGACTTAGCAAGGAGGGACCTTGGCCTCAGTGACTCAAGTGGAGCACTGTGCCATTGCTGTTTGTCCATTTGGTCCTTAATTTCATAGGGGGTGAGCAGGAAGTCTCTAGGGGGCATTTCAGGTCGATTTCAGACTAAGGTCTAAAACGAGTATGTACAGCCACCGATATATATAATGGGAGGGCGAAAGCACAAGGAAACAAAGGGGATCCAAATCGGAACGAAGGCATCTGAACGGGAACAAAGGGAAGACCGAAGCGGAGCAGTACCGAAGGTCATAAGGCAGAACCTGTGGTACGTCCGAAAGGAGGTAAGGAGGGTGAGGCCCAGAGGGGCAGGAGGATGAGGGGAAGTGGGGATGATGACCAACTGGCTAGAATGGGAAGATGCAGCAGTCCAAATAGGGATGAGGGGAAAACACGAGAGATACATTACAAGCGGCGAAAGTGCCGAAGGTGATCCGTGGAGCTCGGAGGTTGCAGAGCTTACAGAGGTTATGGAGGCAGGGTTGAAAGTCCAAGGGATATTGGCAATGGTGTTTACGTAGTATGAGGTCACCAATGCAATGGACTAAGGCCGAGGTGGAGTCAAAGTCCGAGGTAGGAGCTATGACGGAGGCTCGGAGCAAAGGTACAAGCAGTGTCCGAGTACAAAGTACGGGACAGCGCGGAAGGTCATCACTTGGCGGGGGGTCGACGGAAGAGGGCCAGAGGGAAGAGAGAGGAAGGAGGAAGGAGGTAAGGTGTGGAGGAGAGGAAAGGTGTCAGGTCTGAGGGTGAGTATCGGAGTGGACGGGAGAAGAGTAGGAGGGTGATGGAAGGGTGGAGGTGTTGTGGGGAGGAAGCGGAGGAGTGGGAGGAGTAGGAGGAGGGTGGCGAGAGGAGTGGTGTTCAGTCCGAGGTGAGTATCGGAGTGGACAGAGATAGGACAGGAGAAGGACAGAGGAGTGGAGGTGGCATGGGAGGTGTGGTGTCAGGACCGAAGGTGAATATCAGAATGGACAGCGGTAGGGTAGGACTCCAGAGGTGGTGAAGAAGGAGGTCCAGGAGTCGGGTCGGGATCAGGTATGCATGGAT